CTCCTGATACCATTTTTACAATCACAGGAGTTGAGCTGTTACCTTACCAGATGATGTGGCCTCCTGATACTATTTACATAAACATTGGAGTTGAGCTGTCGATAATTGCAGTTCACCCATTTGGTTGGGAGAACTCATCCTACCCTAGCGTGGATGTCAGTACTCCACTAAGAGTTTTGGATTAGAGTTAACCAATCACTATAAGTCCTCACATGAGTTGATTCCATGCGATTGATATCCTATCGATACAGGATGTCAATTCCCAGATTGATAGATCAGCGATGATCCTCGTGTTATACCCAGAAATTGGTGTGAGTCATAATTCCTGATTCTTAAGTTTGAGGTGAAGAAGGAATGATCCTCATCCTACCCTTGAGTGGATGTCGGTACCCCACGAGGAGGTTTTGGATGTAGTTGACTTACCAACTATGGTCCACTGCACCCTAGCCACTCTACGTCTCTCAATTTCTGCCCTTATGTCTTACACATTCCACTCATGGGCAAAGAGTATACATGGCTCAGAAGTGGTGCAGTTCACCTCTTTGGACCTATCTCTCTCATTGTCAGGGGTATCCTTTGGATGCTTTTGAGGGTACTTCTTTCATTCCCTTGCGTCAGAGTGGAGGTGAGTACCATATCGGAAGTTATAATTTTACTATACTGAAAATGTATTTCTGATAGGTACTTCCCTTTTCTCACACTTCCCACTCTTCCTCCCCACTTTTCTGTTGCTCACACCTTCTGCCAAACTTCGAAGTGAAGGTTCAGTAGAGGAGTGTAGAGAGAGTCACATGCATCATGTGAGCATATCATGCTACTATTGGTTAAGAGATGATGCATGATGATTTACATGCGAGACAGGGTAGGGCAGAAGGCTTGTGGGATGCGTAAATAAAACGTTCAAATATAGAGGGCAGCACTGAATGAGAATAGCTAATCTTGTGAGTAAGGTAAGTAACTATCAGAAATACATTTTATGTATAGGAAAATTATAACTTTTTATCTGAGGTACCATTAAGTACTAACATGGTAAAGTTGAGTTTTTAGCATTAATAATAATACATAAACATAACGTAAGGCTTAGCTGAAACACTACTTGTAAATATTATTTTACTTTTTGCTACAACTCAATGTCATAAAGCTTCTGAATTAAACTATTTTAATTAAATTATTATATCACTGAAGTTATAAAAAAAAGTATAACAAAACAAACCTTTCTAACAAATCACATGAATATTGACTGAGCATTCAACATAAACACCATAGTTAACCTAAGAACAATCAGGTGATAGTTTTGTTACTAAGTGATGATATATATTGTTGAGCATTACCAAAAAAGGAGCAAGAAACCATTCTCAACAGAGTGATAAAGGGAATAAGTGTTTTTGTTAGTGATGATTATAGATTTTGTATCTTACAACAGATTCTATTAAAACTGTGTGACATGTAATGATATATGTTGTTAAGTGATTGACACTGATGCTGCCACAACACAATTTGGATAAAAACAAAATGTTCTGTCACACACAAAGATGACATCTGATTTTTAGATTGTTTATAGAAGCTACCTGTGATATAAAATGCAGTGTTACATTTACTGTTTTGGTATTTGTACTTTGTAGAGGCTAAATGTAAATAACTTTCCAATGTTTAAACATTTAAATTTTTGTTTAAATCCCAGCAGAGGAAAATTGTTTTTAATATCACTATGTTTTCTTCTTAGGTCAATTTCACCCAGTTCTCTGGAGGAAAAAGAAGAAAATTCTGATCTTTTGTTTCGCAAATCTTGTTATAATGTTCCACATGATAATTATAATAAGCTGAGATCCTGCTTGTTATCACTGAACATATACAGTACCTTTATTTCCTTAACTAGGAAGATGTCCTGGATTGCAAGCACAGAAGCATATTCATCTGCAAATCCAACTCCTGGTGAGATTGCTTTTAATGACATCTTTCCAGTTCTCCTTCAGTGTTTTCTGACGGTGCTTTGTGGCTACCTAGCTGGAAGATGTGGGTTGATATCATCGACAGAATCCAAAGGTCTTAACCTCTTTGTGTCATATTTTTCTCTTCCTGCTTTAATTTTTAATTCCTTGTCATCTCTGAAGTTAGAAAATGTTAACTGGAAGTTTATTGGAGCAGTGTTTGTTTCTAAAGGAATCATCTTTCTTCTGGTTGCTGCATTTACAATACTTTTGACAAAACCAGCTAATACTGGAAAGGCTGGTTTATATGGCATTTTTTGTACACAAAGCAATGACTTTGCATTAGGCTTCCCTCTTGTTTTCTCTCTGTATGCAAAAAACCATCCAGACTATGCCAGTTATCTCTACCTGCTGGCTCCTATTCAGTTTATGGTTCTCAATCCAGTGGGATTTATCTTAATGGAGATTCAGAAACAAAGAAGTCACAATATTAGCGTAGTATCCCGAAAGACTATCTTCTTTCAAGTTTGTAAAGGTGTAATATCTAATCCTGTGGTTATCATGACTATTTTAGGTGTACTTGGAAACTTTGCATTCAACCATCAGGTGCCAGAAGTTCTCCAGAAATTTCTTCATGTACTAGGATCTGCATTTTCTGCTACAGCATTATTTCTCTTAGGCTTGAACATGGTAGGAAAGTTCCAGTTGCTGCAGGGAGCTGCATTGTTACAACCAGCTGTGATGATCATCATGAAGATTTTGGTTCTTCCCTTAATCATCAGAGAACTTGTAACAGTGTTTTCTTCTAATGATTCATCAGTTGACATAAAGGACCTTGCAAACTTTGGGTTTTTGTACGGTACTTTTCCCACAGCCCCAACTGTATTTATCTTTGCTGGTCAGTTTGGCTTATCTACAGAAATGGTGGCTTCTGGCATGGTGGCGTGTACCTTGTTTTCTGCTCCTCTTGTGTTCGTGTCAGCTGTTTTATCCCTTGTGTCTGTTTCCACTTCCATGAATTTCTACTCAGAACTGTTAAACACCATGACATATGTGAGTGCCATTAGTCTAGTTTGCTGTATGTGGGTCATTGCTGTATTTTGTATGAGTAAAAAATGGAAAAACATTACACATGGGATGACTTTATGTCTTATTATATCTCAGCTTCTCACAGCTGGTGGGGGTGTTCTTAGAAAAGTGATAAATCCACATAAAACGTGGATGTTCTACTTACAGTACTTTCTGGCTGCTGGAGGAACATTTAGTGCCCGGGTCTGGACAGCTCTTCTTTCTCTTCTCTTGGCTTTGCTTCAATTGAAGGGACTCTGTTTTGTACTTAAAATACGCTATCTGATCATTATAATTGGATTTGGAATCTCTCTGACAATTTCTGGATTTCTTGCAGTTGGCATGATGAATTTCCCTTTTACTCATAATGTAACTGATCCCAATTTTCATTTTGGGGAAAGTCAAGCTTCTGTTTCACTAGTAGTGTTGGCCAGTTGTTTAATTGTTATCTTGGCTAGTTTGACAGTTCAACGACGACAACAACTTCAGACTCTAGGATATCAGGCTCTCGTTCCTAATGTTGATGATTCTGAAGCAGAACAAGGAGTACGCTCTCAAACAGTGAGAAAAGTAGAGTCTCCCTTCAGAAGTTCTTCTTTTAATGAAGAATCACAGCCCTCATCTTCAAGAAGTGATCGTGATGCATCAATACATCCACCAGACATTGAAGATTTGGGTCTCTCTGGTTCAGTGAATGGTTCATCTGTTGTGGCACGCCTTTGTGACACAGCTCATGGGTGTAGCAGTAGTAGAAGAAAGGAGTGTGCTTCTCGTGTTCGACAGTATGTATCTGAAGAAAGAAGAATCTTCCAAGAACATGGGTTAGTGGAAATAAGTGATGCTGACACTGATGAGATTGTCCGACATGTTGTGCTTATTTTGTTGCTCACCCTGTCAATGATTGTTGGTCTTGCTTTAACAATCTGGATGGTTGTCATGGATGATCTTACAGGAATATTTATAGAGCTGGAGTTTCTTGATGTCTTCTTGAATTATGGTCAAGGATTCATCTCGTTCATCATTTTTGGTCTGGATTCTAAACTAGTTGTTAACCCTTGTCTTCGTATCTGGCGTCGTATTCGTTATGGAACAGACATACTAGTTCTTCCTGCTGAAGAAGAACTATCGTTGGATGTTCATCAAACCTGTGATCAGTTCCTGAGATACCATTATGATCAATATAAGAGGAAGCTGTATGCATCAGCTTCTCCACAACAAACAGAGGAAAATGATCAAGACTGTGTGTTCGCTGGAGATGAACTTGTTGACTGGCTACTAGCAGTAGGCTTAGCTCATGACAGAAAAGAAGGAGAGCACTATGGCCGTAACCTTCTCTTGGGTAGAGTAATTCAACATGCTACTCATACTCATCACTTTCATGATGGTGCTTATATGTATTATCTGTCAGAAAAAAATGACTAAATTACTTTTGTAATAATGCTATATGAATATTCAAAACATGTTTTGTTTTTATTAAATACTGAAATCTATAAAAAAAGCTTGATTAGAATGTGTACCTTCTCAGTTGTGATCTTGAAGTTTAATAACGTAAACTATAAGTGCATTTGTATACTTATTTTAAGAATTTTGTTTTTTGTTTTTATTAATTATAGTATACTTTAATAATCTTACATTGCTGGCCAGTTTGTAATTCATTTTGAATTCATTACTCAACTCTAATATTTTCTGAAAAAAATAAAAATAGTGTATTCAGTTAGGTTTTATTATTTTATATGCATTTTTTTAAGAATCTTACGTTTTCAATTTGATTCCTAGTTTGAAACTTGTAGAATATAGAAAAGCTGTACTATTTTTGTTTACCTTTTAACTTCATTAAACAGAGTCTCTTGTTGCTGATGGTTGGTTTAGAAAATTTGTTTGTTGATTTTATTATTATTGTGTGCAGTATACATAATGTAAAATTAAAAGTTTATTTCTAGGTGTGTGTTTTATATTGTTAATACAATTTCATTTATATTTGTACTAATGAAAGTAATAATTAGACATAATTTAAACTTGTAGGCAGGAGGCACAGTACACATTTACTGGATAATAGATGCAGTATGACTTTACTATACACTAGGCACAGTACACATTTAGTGGATAATAGATGCAGTATTACTACTATACACTAGGCACAGTACATATTTACTGGATAATAGATGCAGTATGACTTTACTATACACTAGGCACAGTGCACATTTACTGGATAATAGATGCAGTATGACTTTACTATACACTAGGCACAGTACACATTTAGTGGATAATAGATGCAGTATGACTTTACTATACACTAGGCACAGTATACACTTACTGGATAATAGATGCAGTATAACTTTACACTAGGCACAGTACACATTTACTGGATAATAGATGCAGTATTACTGCTATACACTAGGCACAGTACACATTTACTGGATAATAGATGCAGTATGACTACTGTACACTAGGCACAGTACACATTTACTGGATAATAGATGCAGTATTACTACTATACACTAGGCACAGTACACATTTACTGGATAATAGATGCAGTATGACTACTATACACTAGGCACAGTACACATTTACTGGATAATAGGTGCAGTATTACTACTATACACTAGGAACAGTACACATTTACTGAATAATAGATGCAGTATTACTACTATACAGTATACATTCACTAGCTACAAGGTACAGTATACATTCACTAGCTACTAGGTACAGTATACATTCATTAGCTACAAGGTACATGTGAATCAGGTATTCTTATGCCTGTCCTGAGATTTTTGAGAAACTACAAACTGTCAAGTGAAATTTTTATCCTCCTTTTCAAGTACAGACTTATCTATCAATTATTCAACCCATTTGGTTTCCATGGTTTTATAAATGTGCGACCAAGACATATTTATTATTTTGTGTTTACGGTTCTTTAAGATTCTTATTTTATAGAAAAGTGTCAGAAACATTATGGTTTGACTTTTACTACAATGGCTGCATTTCTGTTTTTTTATATTTTTGTTTTTACTTTATGGCACAGTTGCGTAATTTTGGATAACCACTGAAGAATAACCTTTGAATCATAAAAAGTCTGTTCTCTGTGTACTTTCGCTGTACATCCAATTAATGGTAATCTTTAGAAAATGCCTGTTTTTTGATATTATATGTATTTAGAAATTATTATTTTAGATCTGCTTGTATAAAGTCAGCAGTGGAAGATTAATGTTTCAGCAAACAAAACAACTGGATGAAATGTTGCTCAGGATTTGTTTATAAATTTGTAATTTTGTTGGAGATATTTAATGCACACAAGTTAGAATTTAGGATCCACTAATATATGAGATTGAGAGTAAAATTTAAATGTTTGACAGTCAATTTGAAATGTGATAAAAATATGTATCCTATATTTTGTAATGGTGATTTATTTATCAGAGTGGATGCACTAATTTTTTTCAATATAAAGGTCTTGTATGTTAAGTGATTTTATACTTTTAATAATTATGATTTCTTAAGGTTGTATAAATTTAAAGTTAAGAATTGGTATAATAATAATGGTGATATTTCAGGGTAACTTTCTCTGAATATTAAAAGGTTTACAGTAGTGTAAAGAAGCAAGCTTCTAATTAAACATGCTTGTAGTTTATGGAGTGGTAAATAGCTACTTCTGACTATTCTGTAAAACAAAAGTTCTTTTAATTAAAACTATTTTTTGCTTTAAATTTTTGTTTCTGTTTAGTTTGTTCTACATTTTCACAAAATAAATTATACAAACAACTAATATACAGGAATGTAATGTGTAAAAATGAGATGACCACGTTTTGGATCATGAGCAGTGTTCCAGCAGTAGTTTAATCCTTTTCCAATCATAAAGTAAGGGACTTTCAAAGATAATGATGAAGAACAGTAAAATATCAACTACCTGTTCTGTTTAAACTAATTGAACATTTGATAAATGTGTATCACCAACTGTCCTAAAACTCCTGAACAAAAGTTATTTTCTCCCTAGGAACCTGTATAATTCTATAAACAGCTCTAAACCTAAAAATATTGTTCTTCTTCTGGTTATCTTAAGATGTCAACTTAGATCCGGTGTAAAAAGCTGAAGGTTTCATTCTTGACATGTCAATCTGATGATGTCGACTTGCAACCATTGCTTTCATTATTGAGATGCGAGTCTGATGGCGATATTGATTTGGATCTGGTGTAAAGGATGGATTTTCAAAACTAATCTTTATTTTGCAACTTTTGAATCGCATATGGTTTGTTCTCTTGAGTTATTTATCATTTATATATATGTTTCTTTGATGTAACCCTCTATTAATGCATTTTCCATGTCGCTTTGAAAAATGTCTATAGTTATTTAATTCTTCAAGTGTTTATAACGCTTCCAAGATCTGGTTTAAAAAACTAGACATTTCATGTATGTCGAAAAACTGAACACAATATTCTAAATATTTTTGTAACTATTTTGAACAAATAACTGTCTCTATGGTAATTAGTAAAAAGATCAGTTAAACTGAACACAATATTCTAAATATTCTTGTAGCTGTTTTAACAAATATCTGTATCTATAGTAATTAGTAAAAGATCAGTTAAGCTGAACACAATATTCTAAATATTCTTGTAGCTGTTTTAACAAATAACTATCTCTATGGTAATTAGTAAAAAGATCAATTAAACTGAACACAATATTCTAAATATTCTTGTAGCTGTTTTTAACAAATAACTATCTCTATGGTAATTAGTAAAAAGTTCAGTTAAACTGAATACAATATTCTAAATATTCTTGAAGCTGTTTTTAACAAATAACTATCTCTATGGTAATTAGTAAAAAGATCATGAAACTGAACACAATATTCTAAATATTCTTGTAGCTGTTTTTAACAAATAACTATCTATGGTAATTAGTAAAAAGATCAGAAACTGAATACAATATTTAAATATTCTTGTAACTGTTTTTAACAAATAACTATCTCTATGGTAATTAGTAAAAAGATCAATTAAACTGAACACAATATTCTAAATATTCTTGTAGCTGTTTTTAACAAATAACTACCTATGGTAATTAGTAAAAAGATCAGAAACTGAATACAATATTTAAATATTCTTGTAACTGTTTTTAACAAATAACTATCTATGGTAATTAGTAAAAAGATCAGTTAAAGTGAACACAATATTCTAAATATTCTTGTAATTGTTTTTAACAAATCCTTGATATTTGTATATTAAGGAGATCAAACTATAATAACCTATAATTAACTCAGTGAGAAGAGCATTATTTGTTCCATCACAGAGAACACAAGTAACTCATGTTCCCCTAATTAACTCTGTTATCAAAAGTTAGTCCATTAAGTCTCCAGCTCATAAGAGTTCAAAGGATGACCCACTTACTACGTTAATCAGCCCATGATGACGTTAAATGTCCTGCTTACAAAGAGCAACTCAGTAACTTAACAAACCCTTGATTGGCTCACTTCTTGTTCACAGTGAGTGTGCTTTGTTGGATTTTCCCGAGACAGATTTGAAATGCTGCTTCTACACATCTTGGAATTGAAATTCTTTACGGGCAAATGAAGAGGAGTGGGAAAACATTTCTGCAGTTTAATATAATTTGTTATCACAAATGTTGGCCTTATTTGTTTATAAAGTTAGATATAACCTGGTGGTTGGACTGTGAGGTTTAAGGTTTGAGCCCACATTATGCCACTATACTTTCTTTGCTCTTTTGGCTGTGTCCTTTTAATAAAGCTGTTTATTAACGAGTATTGGTTTAGACAACAGGTACTGCGTGTTGGTTGCCTTCCATAGGGTCAGCAGTTCAAAGAGAAAGTTATATCTGAATATTGGGTCATAGCCCTTGTGTTCCATAAGATTCTTTTCAAGTTTAAAATACTTTCTAGTCTACATTACTGTACAACTTTTTGGTTTACATTACTACTGTACAGAACTTTCCACTGCATATTATAGAAACATTATTTCAAATAAAAACCTGTTTCATATCTCAACACTTTTAACAAGTTCTGATATTTAACAAAAGGCCTTTTGGGTAGTGACTTGTGTGAGACATAAAATAGATCTGAAATACTTTTTTATACTTACTTGAATCGCTTCTGATTTGAAATATGTAATTCTAATGGAGAGGTTAAGAGAAATGTAAGAGAGAAAGAAAACATGTACAGTCTCATGATTTTTGTTGCAAATATTGGATCTTTAGGCCAAGGTTTTTTTGGTCAAATTGAATTATAAATTCAAATTCCTAAAGTTACTGTCACACATCTTTTCAACACTTGATCAAGTCAGGTTTGATTTAAGAAAATATGTGTAAAAAACTGATGGCGTTCATTGATCCTATGGTTTGAAATATATAACAGAGATAGTGAATGGTGTTCCTCAGATTTAACGACCTTTTATGTCATATGATAGGACAGTTTGAGTGATTTGTTTACACTGGTGAATTCTACTACATTTATATATTACTAATAAATTTATAGTGCTTCAATGCACTACTGTGATTTTAAAGTTTAAACATAGTTATTTTGTTAGTGATCAAAGAAAATTAGACAAACCTAACATAATTCAAAATGGAATATAACGGAACTTTGTGGTCTTCATTGTGTACATGAATATATTTATATAAAAGCTTATATATTACTTTTGCTTTAACAGCAGACATCTTATGAGAGAAACACCTGTTTTAACAGTATGTACACCAGATAGAGAATGCTATATGAAACCTGAGTTCTTCTTTTAATTAAACTTTTCAAGAAAATATTTCATTGGTTTAACTGCCTTAATCCTGGGCTACTAACCAGCAGCCAACTTCATCCTGAGCTACTAACCAGCACCCACCTTTATACAGGTCTACTGACCAGCAGCCACCTTAATCCTGAGCTACTTATCAGCAGCCACTTTAATCCTGGGCTACTAACCAGCAGCCATATTCATTCTGAGGTTTTGAACACCAATCACTTTAATCCTGGGCTACTAACTAGCAGCCACCTTAATCCTGAGCTACTAACCAGCAGCCACCTTAATTCTGGGCTACTTATCAGCAGCCACCTTAATCCTGGGCTACTAACCAGCAGCCATCTACCTTAATCCTGAGCTACTAACCAACAGCCACTATATTTCTGAGGTGTTGAACACTAACCACCTTAATCCTGGAATACTAACCAACAGCCACCAGCTTTCTGAGGTACTGAATACCAACCACTTTAATCCTGGGCTACAAACCATCATCCACCTTAATCCTGAGCTACTGACCAGAGAGAAAGATATCTGGCTAGTAGTTTCTGCCATTAAAATATCTTTGTCTAGCTATTTCAACAGGATTCACTTTCATAATGTGTTCAGTGTGCACAATTTCTCAAAGCTTTAACACTTTCAATCAACAGCTATATATATTTAATTAGTTAACATATTTCCAGTTTCTTTAACATTTGAATAACTTTACCTGATAATTTAGAAGCTGGAGAAGTATAATCAAGCTAATTTGTACTTATGTGTTTTCTGAGTAAATTGTATAAATGTTTTATTTTAGTGTATTGTGAAGTAAAAGAAATATTTGTACAGATTAAAGTAATTAAATAGTGGGTGGATTCACCAATATGAGGCTCATCCAAACTTAAGAACACAAGAATTTGTTAAATAAAATGTTTAAGTTATACTGTTAAAAAAAATAAATGGTTATTACACAAAATAGACTAGCTGTGAAGTTAAACCATCATTCACAAAATAGACTAGTTGTGAAGTTAAACCATCATTTACAAAATGCATTAGTTGTGAAGTTACACAGTCATTCACAAAATAGATCAGTTGTAAAGTTAAAAAGTCATTCTCAAAATAGATTAGTTGTTAAGTTAAACAGTCATTCGCAAAATAGATTAGTTGTGAAAATAAACAATCACTCAAAAAATACATTAGTTATAAAGTTAGACAGTCATTCACAAAATACATTAGTTATGAAGTTAGACAATCATTCACAAAACAAATCAGTTGTGAAGTTACACAGTCATTCACAAAACAAATCAGTTGTGAAGTTAGACAGTCATTCACAAAATACATTAGTTATGAAGTTAGACAGTCATTAAAAAATATATTAGTTACAAAGTTAGACATTCACAAAATAGATTAGTTCTGAAGTTAAACAGTCATTCACAAAACAGATCAGTTGTGAAGTTAAACAGTCACTCAGAAAATACATTAGTTATGAAGTTAGACAGTCATTCAAAAAATACATTAGTTGTAAAGTTAAAAATTCATTCATAAAATACATTACTAGTGAAGCTACACAGCCATTCACAAAATAGATCAGTTGTGAAATTAAAAAGTCATTCAGTAAATACATTAGTTATGAAGTTAGACATTCACAAAATTCAGTAGTTGTGAAGTTAGACAGTCATTCAAAAAATACATTATTTATGAAAATAGACATTCACAAAATACATTAGTTGTGAAGTTAGACAGTCATTCACAAAATAGATCAGTTGTGAAGTTAAAGTCGTTCACAAAATACATTAGTTATGAATCTAGAGTCATTCACAAAATAATTTATGTAGTTAGACAGTCATTAAAAAATACATTAGTTACAAAGTTAGACATTCACAAAATAGATTAGTTCTGAAGTTAGACAGTCATTCAAAAAATGCATCAGTTATGAAAACAGACATTCACAAAATACATTAGTTATGAAGTTAGACAGTCATTCACAAAATAATTT